TGAATATCGGTGGCCGGACGAGCGACCTGTACACGCTGGTAATTATATCGTTACTAACTATTAGGGTTTTGTTCCTGTCGCGGTTTGAAAGACGGAGAGTTTTTTCTGCTTGGTATTTTATATATTAACAGTTTTCAAAATTTTAAAAAATTGATGCGTAATCAATGAGTTATGAAGCCAATTATTCTCGTTCTTGTAGTATAGAAGTAGCGCAAGAGAGAATAATATAGTTATCATTATTCTTTGATACGTTAAACATGTACCGTTTCGTGTAGGTTATGACCGATCCGGATGCACCGAGTCCAAGTGATCCAACCATGAGAGAGTGGGTCCATTGGTAGAGACCAAATTATCTAATTAAAATTCATCTTCCCCCTTTTTGGGTTTTATAATTTTTAATTAGTGGTTGCAAGTGTAATTTATTATTATGTTTGCTAATATGATCTCAGGGTGGTGATTAATATACCAGGAGGAACGGACTCATCTCAAGGTAAAGTTACTACATATCATCTGAAATTTTAGTTGCAAAATTGTATATGTATAAAAGATAAAGAATGCATGGCATTATTCTTTTCTTGTGCTATTTTTTGTTCCCAATAAAGTTAAGTTTTTGTAATACACACGAGGTTAGAAAATAAAGAGATTAATAGATCACTATTTTGCTCTAGCCTTTTGTTTTTTGACTTGTATTTTGTAGTTTATGAAGAAATTAAGCAAGCATATGCATGCACAAGGAAGATTGGAAGTCGGTGCAAAACATGCATGACGCCCGCAACATGCTAGCGAAATTAAAAATACACATGTCGCTTTGTTACTCACTAATTTTAAATAGAGTTCAAAAAAATCATATGCTTTTGTACTATTAATAATAGTTGTGTGAGGTACTTTCTTGAAAATTGTAAAGGAAAAAGTCAGTCACTGTGAAGTGTGAATCCTATTCTTTTGTTTATAGTGGTACAAAAATAGTATAGAATTTGTAGTGCATTTATCGATCGCTAGTTTAAATTTTTTATCTGATTTTCTTAACTATTTTGTTAAATTAAAATCTAAATTCATTATTTATTAAACACTCTTTTGGGGGTGAAAAGTTAATTAAGAACCAACTACTGGGCAAGTTCAGATAAGCTCTCTCTCCTTTTTTTTTTTGAACTCTATTTAAAATTAGTGAGTAACAAAGTAAAAATCACAAATTTCAAAGTTTAATATTCTAAGAGTTGATATATTTTTAGTATACATTTAATTTCATAAATTTAAAACTATTTGATATTTTCACAGTTTTTATAGTTTAGCATTCAGATGATTTTTTTTCTCTAATTTATTTATGCTCCTCGTGAAGTGTGCTCGTTCTATATGTCATATTATTTTATTTGGCTAAAATTCCATATTGGCATTTTAAATGGACCCTAAATGATAATAGAGTCTTTTAAATAGCTCTGGCTATAATAATATCTTATAATAATTATTTAAAAGAAATAACAATACCCATAATTTTCATCGGATATCAATTTTCTGGCCAAGTTCCCTTACTTTATGTGTGCTCATTGTGGGCTAAGTTGGACAGTAGGGTATGACGAGACATAAGGCTTGGAGGGAGAAATAACTGGGCCTAAAATCTCATCGCCCCCAAATTAGCCAAATTCACCCTTTTTTCAAAACTTGAACAAGAGAGGGAGAGAGGGAGCAGTTGGAGGAGAGCTTTTGCAAGAATCTCTCTGATCTTGAATATGACTTGAGAGAAGGAAGAAATTCTGTTGAGGACGATGACTGGAGTACGGCATCGACCAGGAGCAAAGGTGAGACTCCTCTCAAACTTTTGAGAGAATTCTTGTGGGTTTTCTTTTTTGTTTTTGGAGAAGGATGATTAATATGGTTTTTATCCGTAATTAATTGAATAATAAACCCTAATTTGGGTGTTGATTTGTGAAATTTTGTAAACTAAGGCTAAGTCTCTGCCACATCAACAAGAGAATAAATGATTTTACAAATCACATGTAAGCACATGAGGGAATTTGGCCGGAAAATTATTCTCGGATGAAAACTATAGGACTTGTCATTTTTTTAAATAATTATAGAGTTTTATTGTAACAGGGCTATTTAAGACACTCTTATTTTTATTGAAAATATCAATTTGGTATTTTAGCATATCTTATTTTTTTCATTATTTTTTGGAGCCCAAACAAGCACATACTACACGTACTACTACAATAGAACCCGACGAATAATTCCCTCATGGGTGGTGTTACAGGGATCCAGAACACATGGGACCATACATGGGACAAGTGCTATCGGCTCCTTGTCCCATGATGCACTGTTCATAAACAGTGCATCATAGGACAGAGAGCCAACACCTCATATGTCCAATGTAGAGTCCCATGTTTTTAGATCCCTAAGCATTTTTTCCCCTCGTTACCTCTCTCTCAGTTGGCGCATCCTATTGTCACCTCCACGTGTCAGCATCACAGCTCAATCCATCTTTTGCGCTCAACACGTGGACTTGCCAATACTGGCATATCATCTACCTCACGCATCCACGTGTCAGTCCCCTTCCGTTCTGAACTCCCGTCCTTAATTTGACTTGTAATAGCTTGTTTCGTCGCTGACAGGGCAAGAGGTGGTCCCCTACATGGGCCCACGGCCACCTGTTGGTATCCACCGGTACGTCCTGCTTCTCTTCAGCAAGAAGGAGCAGCTCTCGCCGCGGAGGCGATATCCTCACCGGAGTCCCGGGCCAACTTCAACACACGGCCTTTGCGTCCAGCTGGGCCTCGGACTCCCAGTCGCCACGTCTTTTCAACTCTCAGAAGGAGCCTCGCCTGCGCTAGTGAGGACACAGAGCGGTAGGTGGGTGGATGAGTCGTTGTTGACTGGAAATGTAGCTGTTTGTGGGTTTGTAGCTTAGCCAGTTGGTGCTGTGTGTCCTCTATATATATTAGTGTAGTGAGCTAGCTTTGTGTTAAAATGTTTTTAGTGTTGATTAGTATAATTAAGGTGTGTTAGTATGGTGAGGTTGACAACGATTAATATTTTATATATTATATATATATATGATTATATAATTATATATAGTATATATATATATATATATATAGTAATATATATATATATAGTAATGTTTAATTACTTTTTAATTTACTGTGGAAAGAGATTTTGTTTTGAGAGAAAACAATTTAGTTTATCCTTCTGAGTTTTCGAATGTTTTTGTAGTTTAATCTAGACTAATTGTTTTGTTTGCATTTGAACTTCTCTCATTTTAAAATGAGATCATACGTTTACCATATATTATGAACTACTATTTTAGTTTGGAAGGGGAAGGATATAAACCACTATTCAAAAATTTTAAAAATAAAAATATAGCTAATTGATATGTTCTCTGTACGTAGGCTAAATCAAAGTCCTAACATCTAATTAATTATATAAATTTGGCTAATCTAAATATATTATGAACTATATATGGCAGTAGTATTTTAGTAACTAGGAAATATGATAAATCACTAACTAATTAATTTGTTATCTTAATTTAAATATTAATATTCTTGGGTTAATATTTTGCCTTCGGGACTTTGTTTAGAGTGAGGATTACAGAGAAAAAAAAGTCGTTAAATGTTAACGTTAAAGTCATGATAGAAATATTAACATATGACACTTCAATTTTTCTTCATTAATATTAGAAATAATTATAGTTATCACTACGATTTGAAATTATAAGAGTTATATGCATGGGTAATTAAAAGGATCTTTTCACGTCTATTAATATCATTATTAGGTAGAGTGTTAAAAAAACTACATTAGAAATATTTATAACCATGAAAATCTTTGGAGGAATACGTAGGGTTGTCCATTTGGGGCTGAAAGCCAGGATTGTCGAGCCGAACCGGGCCCGGGTCCGAGCTCGGGGCACTTGGTGGAGGCCTTATTGGGCCTAGCTAGGCCCAGCCCAGTTAGGAAGATCACTGGGTCGGGTAGCCAGGCTCGGACGCGCGACATAAGAAATTGGATGCGAGCTGGATCGGCCCGACCGTGTCTCAACTCATAATATGACCATTGGATCCCGAGCTGGCCTGGGCCCGGCCCGGTCCCAACGGTCACAAATGTGATCATTAGACCTGGCTGCCCGGACCGGCCCATACCTGGCCCGGTCCAAACGATCACATTTGTGACTGTTGCACCGAGTCGGGCCCGGGTTGGCCTGGACCCGACCCGGACCGGCCTCACCAAAATAGCCTATAATGGTTATTTTTTGTTTTTTGACCAAAATATCCTCGAAAACAGTTAAAACGGCCAAAATTTAAGGATATTTTGATCATTTGGTTAGGGGCTATCTCTATAAATATAGTGTAGACGTCAAAAATTGCCCACGGATTCCCGCACACAGCTCGAGATAGAGAAAAGACGATGAACGTCACTATCCGAGTTACATAAGCTTAATTGATGTCGATAAACGCATGAAGTAAATCGACGAACCGGGTGAAGCAACAGAATTGCAAAATAATGAAGATACGAAATGATCGGGAGTTACACTTCACTTACGAAAGACGAAGCGCCCCTCGTGTCCCATCTACTCCACATGTGATTCAATCATGGGAGCTTGTAGATCTCCTCTTCGACTTTTATACGCATTTTGAATAGCACAATTCCGAATTCGGACGACGAAGATACAATGAAAATAAATGAGACGCGCAAAACAGTGTCTCGGACCTTAGCGGAGACACCGCAAGTGTCTTGGCCGAGGCCAAGACACCTGAGGTGTCTCGGCCAAGGCCGAGACACCTGTGGTGTCTTGGCCGTGACCAAGACACCGAGTGTCTCGGACATGGCCGAGACACTGCGGGTGTCCGCAGACCCTAAAAAGCCGTTTTACGTAGTTTTGAGCCGTTTTTCGACCGTTAACCATCTGAATTTGTTTTAACTGATCTAATATCATGTGGCTCGAGACAGGGAGAAGACGATGAACGTTGCTATTAGAGTTACAAAAGCTCATTTGACATCGACAAGCGCATGAAGTGAGTCGACGAACTATGTGAAGCAACAGAACTGCAGAACAACGAGGAAACGAACTGATCGGGAGCTCCACGTCACTTACAAAAGATGAAATTCCTTCCATGTCCCATCCACTCCACAGATGATTCAATCATGGGAGCTTGTAGATCTTCTCGAAGGCTTTCCAACGCATCTTGAATCGTATGATTCCAAGTTCGGACGACGAAGATACGGCGAAAACAGACGGAACGTCAGCTTGTTTGGGTGGAAAATTGTACTCTTCATTATATAACTTATTACAACTTTGATCGTTACAACAAGTTCAAAATGGGTAATTTTTGACGCCTACAGCTGACAAACCCTCTATAGAAACCCTAGAACGAGGTTCCTATTTATATCAAGAAAACAGGCCCAAAACGGATCTAGAAATTTGCTGTCACTATTCACCTGAGACACCATTTGGTGTCTCGGGTGAACAGTGCCGATACACCATTTGGTGTCTCGGGTGAACAATGCTGAGACACTAAATAGTATCTCGCACTATTCATGCAATGTTCACAATTTACAAAAAAATCAAAGGTCTTATTGTTGAAGGATCAACAAGAGAAAATAAATCTATTATATCTTCTTCTTCAAGTAATAAAAATCTCCTTTTCCATGGATGCAGCCACACAGCTAAACCATGTAAAAATGGTGCTTCATTGATTGTTTGTTTTTCTCGTGTTTGTCATAAGATTATCTGCAAAACCTTAAGATTAAAGTTTGGGTAAAATACCACATTAGCCTAAAAAGTGACACATATTTACCAGTTTAGCCTATAAAGTAACGCCGGCGACGGTTTAGCCTAAAAAGTAACAAATACAATGACAAATAGACATTTCCGGTGCCGAATATAATTTTTAACTTAAAATTAAGTAATTTTTACATATAGCTCTCCCCCCTCTCCCATCTATCATATTTTCGGATTTATCTCCTCAAATTTAAAATATGTGAAAAAACCTCTCTCTCTCTCTCTCTCTCTCTCTCTCTCTCTCACCCGCACCATCTTTTCCCTCATTCTTCCCACCATCTCCTCCATTCTTTTCTCATACGGATCCTTAACCTCTCCTCTGTCCCACTCTCTTTCTCCCTCCTTTTTCATATCCCCCATATTACTTTCTTCTTTCCCTCTTTCTCCAAATCCATCTCTTCTTAGCTTCTTTAAATTCTCTCTCTTCTTTGTGCTCTTTCTCCTCCTTTCTCTCCTCCCCTTCACTTCCTCCTAATGCTTCAAGTAGAATTTTTTATGTTGGGTTTGAGAAAGGATGAGGAGGAGGAGGTGAGATTGGGGATTGAGACGAAAAGATAATGAAGGAGATAGTGGAAATGAGAAGATAAGAATGAGCATGAGAAAGGATGGAGAAGGAGCGGGAGAGAGGAAGGAAAGTTGGGGGGTTAGAGGATAAGAGAATGGAGGAGATGGTGGGAAGGAGGAGGAGGAGAAAACAAGAGATGGTGGGAAATGAATCAATGATGGTTCTTTTTACAAATTTTAGAATTTTTTTTTTTGGGGTGGGGGAGGTAATCCAAAAAATATGATAGAGTAGAGAGTCTATATGTAAAAATTACTTAAATTTTCACTTTAAAACTATATCTGGCATCAGAAATGCCTATTTGTCATCGTATGTATCACTTTTTAGGCTAAATTGTCATCGGCATTACTTTAGAGGCGAAACTGGTAAATGGTTGTTACTTTTTAGACTAATCTGATATTTTAGCCATTAAAGTTTAGTATCTAAAGATATCCTAACAATCATTATCGTAGCGATATCGATTGTAAAACATGATTCTCAACAAAGAGGAGAAGACAAACACTTTTAATTATAAGTAAACCTCAATCAATACTTGGAGTTAAGGGCATTTCTAAAATTTAGTTATTATTAACTTTAATAGAAAATGACGTGATCTTTTGTCCATCATATTCATCTTTCATAACTTAAAGCAGACAAATAGTACTTCCTGGTGTTTTCTTTTCTTTTTTTCCTTTCTTTTTGTTTATCCTTTATTTCCACCGGTTAGAGCTGGGCTCAGCTTGTACTGTTGTACATAGAGCACACAGCTTGTGAGTCTGGACAAGGGAGCAAGTTTGAAGAGCACTCTTTTCTTCAATGTTCAATAATGGTGTGATCTCTTGTTCATCCTTAAAAAAAAATTGTAATCATTTATCTGATGCACTCAAGATGACCATATCCAATTCAAATCTTTCTATACAAAATTTTATTCTATCCCAAAATCTTAGTATTCTAGCATCAAAAAAAAAAAAATTTTGCAGCTTGTTTGTTTTCTTGGCTTGCCTGCTATGAAAGTTTTGCGTGTTTGATAGAGAAAGGCCTCGAGTTAGGGTGTTAATAGAAATATTTGCTTCAATGTTGACGGGCTAACGAAATCACAACAATATGTTGCGGGCACGGTTAGTCTCATGCTCAACATAATATTCCTCAAGTTGAAACGAGCAAATGAATTAGATCATTGTGCTCTTCGGACCTCAGCTGACTTAGGGCGCGTTTGGTTTGGTAAGCAGGAGCCCGAGCGGTGGCAGCTTTCGGGCACTTTCCCACCCAAAAACGCCCAAGCAAACAGCCCCTTACGCAGCTTGTTTTCAGGACTAACGCTCAGCCCAACGCACTCGCCGATCCAAAAACAAGTGGGTTCTGTGACGGCGCGTGCTGACCCACCCAACACACTCAATTCTTTTTTATTTGTTTTATATTTTCATTGTTAATTAATAGTCTTTTAGGTATTAGTAGTAGTTTTATGAGCAAGTGAGTCAATAATTTTATTAATAGCTAAGTTACGTCAATTCTGTGAAAGTATGCAACTATTTTGTTGTCTATATATGCTCAAATTTTAGATCATTAATTTATAATGAAAAAATTATGGGCCCAAGCACGAGCCTAGTGAACAGACTCGCAGGCAGACCCTGCGCGGTGCCCACCCCCTAGATTTAACAGAGAAAACCCCACCATTTGAAAGGAAGAATTTTTTTTGGGATTACCTTATTTGTCGGTCTTAATTGCATTAATGCCACTGAAAAGCTTCCATCTTTTCACTAGCCCACTCTACACCTGGACAACTTGGCCCCACGTCACCTCAACACGAAACCTGCCGGCGATTCTCCCGCATACCAAGGACACGTGTCTCTTATACCCAGAGCTCAAAAACTAAAGTCAACTCGCAATGTTATAATCGACTTCACATTAGGACTTCCCCAGTCGACAATCCTACGTGGCACTCCTGTATCACTCAGCTTAAACTGGGTCCCACCAAGAGACATGTGGGATGTAGTAGGGTGCCACGTTAGGGATGCTAATTAATTGATTAAGTTAAAGAGTCTAATTAATTTTGGTGTCATTTACTTCGTTACTATTTTTTGTTTTTTTATCTCTCCTTTCCTACTTGCATAAAACTCAGACTACTCTTGGTCTTTTCATCTTCTTCTTCTTCCTTTGGTATTCTTTAGAGTTGATGGAGTCTTCAAGCTTAGAGCTCACAATGGCAATCCCCGGATTGAGTGCTTCCTCTCATAGTGGTAAGATTTTTAAATTTTTTTTTTCCTTTTCTAGTTTGGAAAATGCTTAATTTTGTTTATAACATGCATGTTCCTTTCAGTGGTTGTTCTCATTTTGTTTGGATTTTGGTCCTGGTGGTTCCTAATATTTAATTTAGAATAGAATGTTGTTATGATTTCCAATCCTTAGTGTCCTACTAATTATGAAATTAAGAGTTCTGAATTTTCTCTCTTTATTTTTTTTAAACTTTTAAGTTGGGCTTTTATATTAAATTCTTAATAACTTAATTTGGTGTGAGGTCTTGCTAGTTCTTTAGGTAAGATGAAGGTTCCTAGAAAAAGTATTGCCCATTCTTTTTGTTGTTGAAGTTTTAATTTTTGATTTATTTTTATTTTTAATTTTAATTTTCTCTCTTTTTGGCCTTTTTTTAAATTTGGAAATGCATTTTGCTTAATGATCAATTTGGAAATGGATCTCGGTGGTTCTTTAGATAAGGTGCATGCCTCTAGATTTCTAGTGGTTCTTGTTCATTCTCTTTTTTCTTGCTTCTTAAATCTTTTTTCAAAAAACAAAGTTAAAGAAAAGATAATTGAGCACTACTTTATTGAAGGAGTTCTACGGGTTTCAAAGAGGAGAAATCTCTCGTCAGGGATTTCTCCCATCCAAGCTACAAGATTTATGTTAATAAAAAAAAAGTTTGAAGACGTTGATACGAACAGAAGTGAATGACAGAGTCAGAGATGTTTTCCTTTCTTCTGAAAGGGATGTAAGCTTTTAACATTTAATGCAATAAACAATTTGCTAGAGATACCAAAATGTTTCCAACCTTTCAATAAGACAAATGTTTTACATTCTCTTAAGGAGTTTGTAAAGGGAAGGACATTGATCCAATTTGGAGTCCTCAAGCAAGAAAAGTTCATTCTCCTTTTCATATATAGAAATTTATGGATAGACGGTGACCTATATTTCCATAAAATGTTAAGCATTTTCTTTCCAATTTAATTAAGAAATAAAGAAATTGAGATGCCCGAAATTTTAGCTTAAAGATTTTCATCATGAAGCTTGATTAAGAAAATTTACTGAACAAGAGATCTATTTCAGAGCCTAAAGTTGGGTCATGCATGTTGCTTAGTTTTATAACCAACAAAACCCTACTCTAAGGTGAGTATTAAGAACAACCAACACGCAAATCCAACTTACAAAATGATGGATTAATTACATTCTGGTACTCTGAGGTATATATGATATAGTTACAATGATGACCCAGGAGTTTGTGTATCTAAACAGGTAACCTTAAAAGTACGGCTTATAATTTCACATTTGATCATGGTATCTGATGGTAGGTCAGCACAGTTGTCTTTAGCATTTGTGCAGTTCTTGTTGGATATTGGTTAGGATTAAGGTTAGGTTATGGCTAGAATTAGGATTATGATTAGGGTTATTGTAAGGGTTACCAACTATTGTTGTTACAATTATGATTAGACTATCTCCAGCAGGAGTCGAAATTTTAACCTTCTCTCTCCTGCCACATCATTTTATTCCCCCTCCACATAATTCAACAATCTTCATTTTCTATCATCTCTACAGCAGGAGTTTTTTCAAAAGATTTTTACTTTATTTGGGACCCACTAACCCCATCACTCCAACATATATACCCCACCTTATTTATTCATTTATTTTTCTTATTTCATATATATTACTACTACTACTACTATTATTACTAATATAACTCATTTATTTATAATTATAATTTTTTAATATTTACATAAATAATATATATTATTAATTGATATAAGGTGTTGAAAACTCAGATTTTTTTTGGTGTCCAAATTACACAAGACTAATCTCTATTTATAGAGGTGAAAAAATAAAAATTATTGATATAAAAATTATAAATTAATTCCTAGTATTTATCTCCCAAAATATCATTTAAAAACTAGGAGTAAAACAAAAAACTCCAACCAATCAAGCCTTGACACATGGCTTGATACATGAGCTCAATTAATTTCACCCCCCAAAAGCCGGAGGTGAAATTTTCACCCATCCGAAACCAATTTTCCATTTCACCTCCCAAAAACCCACCTGCTGGAGCAAAAAAACCCTCCAAAACCCACCTGCTGGAGATAGTCTTATAGCAATGGAAATTTAGTTAGTAACTAATATTAGCTATAACCCTAACCTCAATCCTAATTCTTAACCTAATTACCATATTTCTAACTCTAACATCCAACAATAACTCTAAATAAGGAAACAAAAGGTGTTAACCCAGATTCTAAGGTCACCCATGTGAGTACCCATGCAAATTACTCCAAGGTCGTTAGTGTAATCACACCATACCTCAGGGTACTAGAATGTAATTAATTAAGAAGAAAGCTAAAAAGGTATGAAGAATGATTACTAAGAACACCTACCTAACTAAAAAACTAATTAACAAGATCCTAATCCAAAATAACTCATTATGAAGTAGTAAAAGTTAGATTCAAATTAGAGAAAAGTTGTAAAGAAAACGCAGGATATTTAAAATCAGAAAGGGGGTATTAGTCAACTATAACATTTTTCATAGAAGTGGAACAATTTTAAGTATGAGATAATTTTTTGAAGTGAGATATTTTAGTGGGATAATTGGGAATAATTTTTTGAAATGAGATTTTTTAGTGGAACAATTGTTAGTATAATTAAGGATAATTTTCAAGAATCAAAGCATATAAGTCATGCATTTTTATGATAAAATTACTATTTATATATTTTAAAAGTTACTATTATTAATAATAATTATTTAATTTATTGTTAATTAATCTTGAAGAACTTTTTGATAGACTATAATCTATAATCTATTATTATTATTATTATAATTATAACTTTTTGATTTTTTTAGAATTATTATTGTAATACAAATTAGAAAACAAAGTTTTTCCTTTTTTTTTCCTTGTTCTTTTTCAATCTGCTAAACATCATTCCGTCATCTCTCAATTTTAATAAATTTTTAATAAAACATGAATTTGTTTTTAAATTTAAATTAATTACATAATTCTAAATTTTACTAAAATAGTAAAAGTAACATTAAATAGAAGGGTAAGAAGAGACGTGATCTAATCTTATGGTGTGGTTTGAAGATGGAGAAATACAATATGAAATATGAAAAAACAAATAAGAAAGTTCTAATTTTTTTACCATCTAGTCCTAGTTTAAAACTTAGGACAAATTGAGGGACTCTTTGTTTTCTATATAAATTTGACAAAAGCAGATAAATTTTTACCATTATCCCAGTTCTACTTTTTATCCAATTCTAGTTGACTAACATTGTATAATTTTATCCTAATTTTAGTTCCAATTCACTAACATTACAAAAATTTATCCGATAAATTATCCCAATTCTAATTTGAGTTCTACTTGACTAACCCCACCAAAGCAATTTCTAGCCTGAACACTTGAAACATTGTACGCAGAGAAATTGTATGCTTAGACTTTGTTCAATGTGGTCTCTCCTTCAAATTTTTACCACATCAAAGGTTATAGAGCATGCATCCATGTCAAAAGAAAAAGCATTGCAGTTTTCTCTTCTGTGCTACCAACATCTTCAAAATGATTTATTCTTTCTATAAACGTTGTAATCATATGAAGTAGAAAGCTAAAACTTGTATACTTACATTATCTTTAACTATATATGTGTGCATGTCTGTGTATAGTCTACTGCTATTATAATTTTCCTCATATTTATTTTCCTTTGCCAAGTTACCTTTCTAGATATAACCTATAATGTGTGTGAGTATATACACAATGTATTATTCTCTTCAATTTTATCTGTTAATAAGAAGAGAAATACTATAATATTGTATTTTCGATGTAGCATGGGCATGATACAATGTATTTTTCAAAGTATGTTAACATGTCCGTATGCTATTTTTACCTCTTACTGAAGGTAGGGATGTGAGTGGTAACAAGAAGATGAGAGACTTGGACATGAACCTGCCAGCTTGGGCACCAGAAGAAGAAGAACTCCCAACTGGAAGTATCGAAGATGGTGAAGTGGTTGAAGGAGAAGAATCAAGCAACCGGCGACCAAAGAAGCTTCAGCTCTCTATAGAGCAATGCAGACTGCTTGAAGAGAGCTTTAGACAAAACCAAACCCTCAACCCTGTGAGTCAATTTGCATCTATGCCTTTTTTAACCAAGTTTTTCTCTATATAAAGTGTATTTTTATTTGTGATTTTGTTTTTTTTCCAGAAGCAAAAGGAGGCGTTGGCAACTAAATTGAAGCTGAGGATAAGGCAAGTGGAGGTCTGGTTTCAGAATCGAAGGGCTCGGTGAGTATTATCTTCATGAATTAAGTCCTTTTGTGTCTTTTACTGCTTGTTATTTGGTTTATTGAGAAATAAATTATCATTATTAAACAAGAACATTTCAGTCCAAGTCATTACCAGTAAGAACATTTCAAGCCTAAGTTTAGGCTCATCCGATTGAAACTAATCCATAGTAGGTAACTAGGTACGTATAGTAAATATCAGACTAGCAAGACAATCGTAGCTAATATTATTGAGGATGGACTATGTTTTAGCACATTGTAGCAAAATGTGCTAAAAGTTGCTAGAATTTGCAGTGGATGATCTTTCAGAAATATTTCATTCAGGGTTATAAATGGTACCATTGCTAATTCTACTATGGTGTGGACTAGAAAACAAGAGCTATGACTCTTTTAGAGGGTTAATTCATAACCCCTAGCCCTCATCATAACTTTGCAGTGGAAAAGATTTTAAATGCTACATGACTTAAATAATTCGTAGTATTGCATAGTTCTTATTAACTATATTCTATTTTATTAGCACATACGCCTCCTGACATCTTTGATGATATATTTTTCCCGTTAGTTTAAATTCAATGTTATCGGCAGAATCTTAACTCTGACCATCATGTGATCCCCACGGGAGGTAAAAACTTGTAAGGTGGGAAGCATCAACAAATAAAACCATACATCACGAGATCAAAAGGTGTATGTGCTACTTTGGTAGTACCGCGAAATTTGAGACTTTATTCAAAACCAGTGATGACGTGAAAGTAAGTGTTGTGTATGTGCAGGACAAAACTGAAGCAGACGGAGATGGAGTGTCATTACTTGAAGAGATGCTTCGTGTCATTGAGGGAGGAGAACCGGCGGCTTCATAGGGATGTTGAGGAGCTCCGATCGCTCAGAGTCGCTCCACCAACCGTCATCTCTCCAGAGACTTGCCAGCCGATGCCCGCTTCAGCCCTTACTATGTGCCCCCGGTGCCAAAGGATCAACGCCGGGAAACCTTTTGAGGGTCTTGAATTGTGACGTTTATAACTGGTTTATGATGTTTCAGATTTAAGAGAAAATTTTGTTGTAATTTGAAGTGAAGGTTAGTGTATTGACTAGTGTTTTGTTGTGTTTGGGTGATAGTTTACTGCTTTTTCTTGATTTGGTTCATGTCATTGTGTTGGTTGTTGAATGGCTTTTCGATTTCAATTTATACATAAACCATATTAAAATAGGACAACTATACAGAATTTACCTTTCATTTTTGGGAAAAATGTGTCCAGGCCTCAAAAGCAGAAACTTCATATGATAAGCCCCCTCATAATTTTCCCCATGTGGGTCAGTCCCTTGAAGTGTGACACTTTGTACCGCGGCTCTTTTTTATCAATTATCATATGCCAGCTAAGCTAAAATTCCCAAACTATCCTTATCTTCTCTCCTCAATCTCTCTGACCCAGCACTCATATCATCTCTTTCTCTCATCTCCTCTCTCTCTCTCTCTCTTTCTCTCTCGCCTCTCTCTAAAACTAAAAGCTTTTTCAAGCTCGTCGTCCTGGCCGAGACGCACAGATCATTAATCTATTAGCTAGAAGAAGAAAAAAAAAAGAAAGGTAAGGAGAAGTAGAGTAGAAGAGGAATGAAGAGAAATGCCGTAATTAAGAAAGAACGAAAATGTGTATTAATGTATCTCTATGAATAAAATTGTCACGGTGCCGCCGAGCGATATTCGAAGCAATATAACGAGAGGTAGAAAATGAGCTCAAATGAAAGGAGATACCGTGTGATAGACAATATAAAGGGCTACACACCGGCGCAGACGGTAGTGAAAACGGAGACCGGAGGTGGCCGTAAAACACGCGCGAAGTCGGCACGGCGCTGCTGTTTTCTGCTCGCTGCTGCCGTCGAGCGATATTTCGAATGTTACTGAGAAAGATAGAGAATGAGTTAGAGCGTGATACAAATTGGAAGTGATAGGCAACATGTAGGGCTACTCACCAAAGAAGAAATCGGCGGAAACGGAGATTAGAGGTGATCAGAAAGTGCGTGCGAAGTCGGCACAAAACTATAGTTTTATGCAGTGCAATTTCTCGCCGTTCGGGTTTGTTCTTCGCTGTTCGGAGATTTTCGCCGCTGTCCGGGCTTACCGGAGGTGGGAGGAGGTTACCGGGGTCGTCGGGGTGTCTCAGTGGGCTCCGTCGGAGGTAGGAGAAGCTTTTCTCCGTTCCCAAGAGCCTAGAACTAAGATGAATTAGAGCTAGAACTAACTAGAACTAGCAAGATAGAATCTAGAACTGGGGGCATACAAGCTAGAACTAGGATAATAGAAGCTAGAGCTAACGTAGGAGAAAGAACTAGCAAGTGTGCATGTAAAAAACCCTTGTTGGGTTTAGAACTAGCAAGATAGAAGCTAGAACTGGGGGTATATAAGCTAGAACTAGGGGAATAGAAGCTAGAATTAACGTAGAAGAAAGAACTAGTAAGTGTGCATGTAAAAAACCCTTGTTGGGTTTAGAACTAGCAAGATATAAGCTAGAACTGGCTGTATACAAGCTAGAACTAGGGGAATAAAAGCTAGAACTAACGTAGAAGAAAGAACTAACAAGTTTTTTACATGAACACTTGCTAGTTCTTTCTTCTACGTTAGTTCTAGCTTCTATTCCCCTAGTTCTAGCTTGTATACCCCCCAGTTCTAGCTTCTATCTTGCTAGTTCTAAACCCATCAATGGTTTTTTACATGCACACTTGCTAGTTCTTTCTTCTACGTTAGTTCTAGCTTCTATTCCCCTAGTTCTAGCTTGTATACCCCCAGTTCTAGCTTCTATCTTGCTAGTTCTAAATCCAACAAGTGTTTTTTACATGCACACTTGCTAATTCTTTCTTCTACGTTAGTTCTAGCTTCTATTCCTCTAGTTCTAGCTTGTATACCCCCAGTTCTAGCTTCTATCTTGCTAGTTCTAAACCCAACAAGTGTTTTTTACATGCACACTTTCTAGTTCTTTCTTTTACGTTAGTTCTAGCTTCTATTCCCCTAGTTCTAGCTTGTATACCCCCAGTTCTAGCTTCTATCTTGCTAGTTCTAAACCCATCAAGGGTTTTTTACATGCACACTTGCTAGTTCTTTCTTCTACGTTAGTTCTAGCTTCTATTCCCCTAGTTCTAGCTTGTATACCTCCAGTTCTAGCTTCTATCTTGCTAGTTCTAAACCCAACAAGGGGTTTTTATCTTGCTAGTTTAAACCCAACAAGGGTTTTTTATATGCACACTTGCTAGTTCTTTCTTCTACGTTAGTTCTAGCTTCTATTCCCCTAGTTCTAGCTTGTATACCTCCAGTTCTAGCTTCTATCTTGCTAGTTCTAAACCCAACAAGGGGTTTTTACATGCACACTTGCTAGTTCTTCTACGTTAGTTCTAGCTTCTATTTCCCTAGTTCTAGCTTGTATACCCCCAGTTCTAGCTTCTATCTTGCTAGTTCTAAACCCAACAAGGGTTTTTTACATGCACACTTGCTAGTTCTTTCTTCTACGTTAGTTCTAGCTTCTATTCCCCTAGTTCTAGCTTGTATACCCCCAGTTCTAGCTTCTATCTTGCTAGTTCTAAACCCAACAAGGGTTTTTTACATGCACACTTGCTAGTTCTTTCTTCTAAGTTAGTTCTAGCGTCTATTCCCCTAGTTCTAGCTTGTATACAGTCAGTTCTAGCTTCTATCTTGGGGGAGAAATCCACTATCACAACCGGGTTTTCTACGCTCACCCGAATAACGTTTACACCTCATAGTGTCGGTTTTCAACGCTCACCGAACAACGTTCACTCCTCACACTCGGTTTTCTAGTTCACCGAAAACTTCACAACACACTCGGTTTTCTAGCTCACCGAAAACCTTACACCACTCACAATGTAACAAATATAAATTTGTTCTCTACAATAGATGAGAACACAATTAAGCACAACTCAATGTTACAATCTCTCACAACCCTAATATACTATGTATGCAAATACAATAAGCTCAAGTGGGTGTGTGTAACAATGAGATAATATAATCAAATCTAAACTCAATATAAAAACTAGCTTTAAAGAATGATAATCAAATAACTAAGCAAATGTAAAGCTAGATAGAGTTTAGAAAACTTCTCCAATAGATGACAAGATGGAGAGATGGAGATTGGAGCCCAAACAAGAAGATGATCTCCTCCACTTGTGAAAACTTCTTCATAAACCAAAACAAACACTAACACACTTAAACCCTTGTTTAAAACTCTTTAAACTTGTTTAAAACATTTCTTAAGTGCCCTTAGAAGTATGAGGTCATGGGGTATATATAGGCTCATGAAACAAGCCCAAAAACCCAAGAAAACCAAGCAAAAAGACAAAAAAACGAATATATCAAAATCTGGGAATTATAGCCGTTAGCTACAGTAACCAACGTCCAGAGACATTTCCGGTCGACCGGTCCGGTCGACCGGATTACTGTAGCAGTATACATCTGTTTTGTAAAGTCGATTTAAAATAGTAAATGAAGTCCAAAAATTATGAAATTTTGTGGGAGTGTTCTAGACATGTAGAATAACATGTCAGAGAAAGAATTTCTGAAAAAACTTTTCCCAGTTGAGAGAAAGATACACGATTTTGTAAAATCAATTAGGCACAGTAAATCAACTTCAAAAATAGTAAAATTTTGAGGGACGTTTCTAAACATGTAGATAAACATGTCAAAGAAAGAATTTCTTGAATATCATTTTCCATTTATGAAAACTCATCTATTTTGTAAAACATGCACGAACATGCACGAATGAAAATTATGATTTTGTAAATTCCATTAAACATAACAAATCAATTCCAATCTTGATGAAACTTTGAGAAATGTTTGTAAACATGAAAACAAACATGTTAGAAAAAGAATTTCTCAATTTGCATTTATAATTTGTGAAAAACACTGTATTCTGCAAAAGCACTAAAAGACGTATATATGAAAAACATGTGATTGTTATTTTTGACTCAAAACAAGTTTTGAAAACTTATGGAATATTTATATGGACATAATAAAAGTTGTTTATGATGTAAATATAGTCCAAAACTTATTTTGCATAAAAACACTTATAGTTACGAAAATCACAAATATATATGTGTGTGTATGTTTGAGCTTATAGAATTAACACACATGATATAAACTTATACTAAATATACCCAAGCAATGATCTTGATCTTTATTGTAGCTCAACTTGGTACACGTTATGGATGAAGCTAAACTTAAATCTTGAACTTGAATTGTACGATGCTTTACTCCATAATTCTGCCAACCTCCATTTGATATCGTCGTTATGGCGCAATCCATCCATCCTCCAACCACGTTGTTTGTCTACAATACATAGGAATGCACAAACACTAGACAAACAACATTAGTAGTAAATTGTTTATAAATCATCATCAAAATTCTAAACCCACAACAAGGGTTTTTTACATGCACACTTGCTAGTTCTTTCTTCTACGTTAGTTCTAGCTTCTATTCCCCTAGTTCTAGCTTGTATACCCCCAGTTCTAGCTTCTATCTTGCTAGTTCTAAACCCAACAAGGGTTTTTTATATGCACACTTGCTAGTTCTTTCTTCTATGTTAGTTCTAGCTTCTATTCCTCTAGTTCTAGTTTGTATACCCCCAGTTCTAGCTTCTATCTTGCTAGTTCTAAACCCAACAAGGGTTTTTTACATGCACACTTGGCTAGTGTCTTTTCTTGCTACGTTAGTTCTAGCTTCTATTCCCCTAGTTCTAGCTTGTATACCACCCGAGTTTCTACTTTCTATCCTTGCCTTAAAGTTGTAACCCAACAAAGGGTTTCTTTTACATGTGGCACACTTGGCCTAGTTATTTCTTCTACGTTAGTTCTAAGCTTCTATTCCCAGTTTCTAGCTATATACCGGCCCAGTTTTCTAGCTTCTATCTTGCTAAGTTCCTAAACGGCCATCAAGGGTTTTTTTACATGGCACACTTGCATAGTTCTTTCTTCTGACGTTCAGTTCTAGCTTTGCTATCGGCCTAGTTCTACGCATTTGTATACGCCCCAGTTCTCAGCTCTATCTTGCTAAGTTCTAAACGCCAACAAGGGTTTTTTAGGCATGGCACACTTGCTAGTTCTTCTTGCTACGTTAGTTCT